TCACGAGTGAATTGATTTAATTTTCCCCTAGTATCAGATGATCAAGCTAATTCAGAAAAACTGCCGAACAACGCTCGTGGTGCCTCTAGGTTGCAACGTGGTGGATTAATCAAGCATCTGTGAACCACTGTTTAATCCTCGTCTTCCCAAAGATAGTAAATAATTCAACCGGCTGATGTCACTTTTATCACCCTCCTACAGTTGGGATCTGTTTGACAGTGAACTACCCAACCCTTTTGACCTATGCACTTGCTCAGTTTCGATATGGGTATACTACTGAAGTAAGTGAATGAGTAGTCAGAATACCCGAGGAGTAAGTTGATGGTTTTGAGTGTGTGTGTGTGTGTGTGTGTGTGTGTGTGTGTAATAGTGAGTGGTATGTGGTATGTGAGACATGTTCACATGACGGCGCCAACTGGTGTGCGCCTAGTAAACTGACTCTCCCCAACAAAATCGTGACTGCCCCCGTTTTGAAACTTGATGATTTGGAATCAGCTATAGACGGTTGATAACCTAGACAGTTGAATGACGAATCGCCGTCGCACAATGAAGGGTGACTCGCTTAAATCCAATGCGGGAGTGGCCCAGGCTGGATGACGGTTGCACAGTTGCACACTGCAACGATTTCAGCTTCATACTTTTGCGAGCGGAATGCCGATGTCGATGTTTATTCAAACTGGCACAGGCGAGATGTACTATAGATAATTCCAGTTCGATGCCGTGTGCTGTTGGCAGATTCCGTGGGTGGTTAGGGGAAGGAGTGGAGGAGGAAAACGTTATCCCAACGAATTCGAGCAGATGTTGTTTATGCTGAACAGCCTCCTTTTACAGCAACGCGCCAAGTGAATGGAATACTAAGAGGATAATAAATATATAGGACAAACAGAGGAGTTGACAAAGTATTAAAAATTAGTTCTCGCAGCTCGGGTGAACTGAATTCCATTTCGCCTGCTCGCCATGCTTGGCAATTTGTTTGCAAATGTTGCATCACCAGCCGAGGTGACATAATCAGTGCTTGTGAAGTGGCAGTGTTCTGCTTGTACCCGTTCGTTTATATATGTGTTCTT